GCTGAACTGTGTAGGAAACACTGATAGACACACTCGTTTTTTTAAAGACACCGAATTTGCATTGCGTATATTCAGAGGTCGTTGAATATAATCACTACGGTGACCTTCGCAGTACTGTCAAGGACACTTATGACATGACAGTTGACGCACGGTTACCTGTCGCCTTATTTGAAACTAGGCGTTGGGAAAGCTTTGATCCAGTTTGTGGACACGGTCTCTGCTCTCCAACCTTCGACCGTACAGCCAGTCATCCGGTACTGTCAAACAGCACTTAAAAGTTTGCGCTGAAAGACAGTTCTTGTCAGTCGTTATGTTATCCTCCAGTTCCTGTACCGCTTCAGATATCTCCGTAGATGATGGACTGTAGTCAGGCTCCTAAACGCCTGTTTTATCACTGCGCACCGCCTCGTATGTACACTATACTCTCCTCCGCGGCCATACAAGGGGCATGAGGTATGGCAAACATACATGCAGTACAATAGTCGGAGGTTCATAGAAGGAACCTCTTTCTGTATTACGTGGGCATGCAGCGGTGCGACGTAGGGCGTAAAAAACCATGATGTCACTAGCATCATCACAAAAGCACATTGATGCAACCGACGCCGACACTGGCTGTCAACGCTTGAGTGAGTCGTTGGCTGGACCATTCAGATCAAATGTGACATCATGCTGACCATAAATTTTGACCAAAAAACTGTTATTCTCGGCCGATTGCCATTGAGACGGCCGAGACTGGATAGTACCTGTATCTAGGAGTGTGATTCGCTAACTCTCTTCTTATTCATTTTACAGTCGTCCATATCAGAATGCAGTCTATCCCCAATTTACCCCTGTTCCTGCTTTTAGGAACACGGTGTCTGTTAGAAGCGCGGCGCATAATATTTTGATTGACCCTTGCTTCCAGCGATGGCGACAGCCAATCGTGACCTAGATGAGGCGTTGAAGGTGTTTAAGTCGGCCTGTAAATCGATTGAGGCTGCAGTGGCCCTGGAGGAGAATCATGGTATTTCATGTTCCGATAGTAACCCATTCTTTGACAGGTAGTGTTCAGGAGGCTCTGAAGCATTATAAAGCGGCTATTACAGCGCTCGACAGGGCCCTCACCTCCCCAGCCGTGAAGGGATGTAAGGATGCAATTTTGTTCACCCATTGTTTTTAGCAAACTCACAGGATATGGTTGAGGTGCGCGCGAAGATGAAAAAGTACCGCGACCTGGCTGCAGAAAGATGCGTCATTCTTTGTAGGTCACTCTTCATACTTAAAACTGCATGGATTGACTTCTGGGACATTTTACTCGGACTTTTTGTCTGCCTTTCAGCTAGGCCTCAGGCCTCCTCATCTGCGGCGTCCACGAGGAAGAGCCGTCCGCCACCACCAGCACACAGATCAACTGCACAAG